TAACCTGCCAATCGACACGAGATTCCTGATTCACATTTTCTCTCTTTTTGAGCACAGGAACCCTGATTTCAGGGTACATGTTAGTGTCATGAATTTAATGCATAAAATGGATACGTGCAGATACTTTGAACTTGAAGAAATTTTGTCCTGGTGTGGATTGTGTAGAAGATTCTGAACAAGTCACTTCAGTATTTTTTTTTTTTGCTGTGTTTGCTAATGAGGATCATTCCTCATACTTTTTTCAAGATCAACATGATTATTTTACTAGATCACAACTATACCTTGGCCAGTGAAAGCTGATTGAAAAAGTCTTACTGAGTCTGAAAACCAGTTTGAAGTTACACATCAATATTTAAAATGGACTTGGAGCATTTGGAATTTAGTTACAGCTGCTATTACCTAAGATAACTTTGTTAAAGTAATCACTGGAAAAGATTTGTAGTAAGTAGCTGTTCACAGTAAGTGAATTACATTCATTTTTTAATAAATCATTTCATGCTGTTTTAGCAGAAACTATGATGTCTTCAGATATCACAAAGGTATATGACCTTGTTTCTTAGTAGTGGGGTAATACAAGCACCATAGGAGTAATCCCCTTGAAATCAGTAAGGTCATGGTAGATTTATACAGGCATGTGGTAAACAACGACAGAATTGAGATATGTTGTAATGGGGTTTTGCTGTACTGACTGTTGAAAATTTGACCTTGTTACACTTGACAATATTTTTATTTGAGCATGGGAGAATTTTCTCCTGTCCCCCACCTTCAGCTGGCAAAGTCTTTTATGTGCTGCTTGTGTATTTTCGTGTATAGGTATGTGAAGTGTTTTGCTTCTGCTCTGTGCATCTGTGAATTTAAGTATAGAGGCAGTTAAGGACTGAGAAAAAAGTGTTAGTTTTCATGGTATCTCGAAGATAAGGTTTTCTTTAAATACTGCCTTTTAAAATGTTCTTAAATGTTCACATACTTGCTATGTCAACTCTTGGCAATATCACCTGTATTTTAATGCCACTCCTAAAATTATGTCGTGGTCTTCTACTCAGAAGTATACTGGTCTAGTTTCTCCTTGGCTCTGCCATATACATGTAATCTGGAGAAAGCTGTTCAGCCTTTTTTCTTCTGTATCACAGTCTAAATGTGGCTATTAGCAGCTTCCTCATTACATGGCCTTGGTTAAGTTGTATTTGGGTTTGAAGTGTTATAAAAATTCGTATCACCTTTCTGCTCTTGTTTCTAATAGTCTTCACTATCTGCCCTAACAAAAGCACAGAGAAGGCTTGTTAGCAGAATTTTCAAATCATCTTTCTAATAGGAAACATATGCTAACAGATAAAAAACAAACTTCAGTATTTTTCAGGGCTTTTTTCTTTGTTTACTTTGGGAGCTCTTTGTGTTTTCCTCTGAACAAGATGGCAACGTCTACTAACAGCAGTTATTACATTATACCTGTGGACAAGCCAGTGATTGCACTTGCTTCAACTAATAGTCTCAGAATTTCTCAGCGGAAGCAGCCAAATCCCAGGCCAGGTCATCTTTTTTAGTGAATGTCCAGCTTTAACCTGTTCCCAACCATGACTCAGTACAGAGCTTCATGAAGTTGAATCAGTAAGTTGTACGAGCCATCTCTGAATACGTCCTGTGGGTTTTTTGGCCTTGCAGTAGGATCATGCATTAGTTGCTTCAGTTTATCAGGGGTGGAGGTAAACATTGAAAACTAGATCACTTTTATTTGAATTTATTACCTATGCAGAGGCAGTAGGTATGATTTTACACCCGTTACAAATGCAGTACATTTATTTTAGGCTATATACCTGGTAGATACCTAGAGTTGGCATACAAGTCGCCTAAGCAGTGTTGTGCTTGGTGTCATTGGCTCACCTTTGCTGGCCAGGCAGTCATTGGCTGAGGACATCTTGACCTCCCTTCTTGGACCGTGCTGGTCCTTGGCCTTACTGAGCTGTCTGCTGAGCCTCTGGGGCAGGGTTTCCCTCACGGATTTTTCAGCTTCCCCCCGCCAGTGTTTTTTTCTCCTGCGTTACGACGGCCATCTCAGCAGTTTCAGTTCTGTCCTGACTTTTTTTTTTTTTTTAGTTATTATTTATTTGTTATTCTTGCATGGGTTCAGCTTATGTACTAGCAGAGCCAGGGTTGCACATCTGTTTCTCCCAAAACTGCACCCTGGGGCACAGCTACCTAAAGTCATAGGCATAGTGGGTTACAGGAAGAAATGCAAGTGATAAATAGCTATATAGTAACAAGTCCTACACAGAAAACATTGTGAAAGGTAGCCTTGTTTCTAATGCATTTTTACATTTGATGATGATGGTTATTTCTTTTCCTTTTGGATCCAGTAGAATAGTGAAACTGGGACACTACAATTCGGTTTTGCTTCAACAACGTGACTTAAACATTAAGAATATTTTAAAGTAGGGCTGAAATTGCAGTTGTAGAAAAACAATTAGTTTTGCCACATTTTATTTTACATGTACACTGGAAAATTAGGATTATAAAATGAAGGAAAAAACATGTTTAAAATGTTTTATTTCAACATTGTATATTGCATTTAGTTCTGATTTATCTAATTACCTTTCTACCGTGTTCTTAGGAGATTCTTAAAAATGAAAATTATAGAGAAGAAATGAAACAGAAAATCAAAGATGTATCCGAGAAGGATAAGCTGCTTCAGGCCAAGGAATACAAGGAGGGACTTGTTGCTGGACCAGTTCATACTCAGGTTAAGGGGCATGCATCAGCCCCTTACTATGGAAAGAAGGAGCCTTCGCAAGATCCGACAAGCACTGCGAGTACCTTTCAACCGGGTTCCTGGATGCCACCAGGCAGTGGTAGCAGTCATAATAAATAAACATTTGTAATGTACAGATATCGCTAATAGGTAAATACTTTGACAACATAAATAGCTATTATGTATAAGTGAGTGTGCAGTAAGTTAATATTAAAGCATTTATTTTTGCAGAACTGTTCAAATAGGCTTAATCATGACAAACTACTGTAAAATGTTTGGGTTTAATGAAAAACAGGATGTGTTACTAAGTTTGGTTTTGACAGTCGCTCTTCATCAGTTACTCTTGAAAAAAATCATAGGGAGAAGGTTTTCTAGGTAATTTAATTAAATAATTTTTTTTTTTCCTGGAAGATTGATTTTTTAAATTGTTTTTCATGTAATAAACTTTAGTTAATCAGCACACTTAAATTTTCCCAAACTTAGGCATCAGTTTTAAGGCTGTTCTTCAGAGTGCTTGCTAATTCCCTTGGCAGTGCCAGCATGCTTCCCTCTGGCAAGTGGATGGAAAAGTTGATTTAATTAACAGGAATCACTATGACTACACTAACTACGCACTGTATTAATCTTAGAGGCATTCTTGTAACTTAGAAAACAATCAACATATTCAAATAATGTTTGATTCGCAGCCAGCAGTAAGCACAGGATAAAATCAGGCTGAGTTAAACTACATAGAACTACTCTAACTGAGGTTAGAAGCACTTGATAAAGCTGATGGAAACTAACAGGGTTTAGGACAAGAGATGGACATTAATTATATTTCAAAAAAACAAGTTAGTTTTTATTTCTGGTGTATGTGGGGACCTCCCTAAATGATTAGATCTATTTGGCCATAGTTTAGATACATAAAATGTGCAGATTATTTGCTTAGAGATGATGTTTGAGAACTTCAAGTCAAAATAAAGACCACACAATTTAAAAAAAAAAAATATCAAATTTATTTATGCAGTGCATCCTTCGTCAGTTCCCATCCATGTTTTAAGCTACGTAGGTATCAAAGGTGGAACACATGCACATTTGACAACACTTGATACAGAATGTGGAGACTTAATCTCATGTATTTCTAAAATGCCAAAATGTCATACTCTAATGATGCTTGCTTTGACCAACAAAATTGAAAGGGGATCAACAGTACTTCACATTTACTTTATTTCAGCCAGACTCCCCACTTCTAATCCCCATTGGTGTCAGCCAGCTCTACAGGTCTCCTCATTTGAACAATGGTCTCATTTTAAGGTTTTATTTTTAAATACAATAAAGGACTAGATGCTAGAAAGCACAACTCTTTGCTGCTGCTTAGAAATATGCTAAGTCTAAAAACCTCATGACTGCCACGAGCTCTTTAGAACTAGACCATTAATAAAAATTAGGCTTTGAAAAATTAATCGCTTCTGTTAGAAAAACATAAACTGGAATTAAGGTTAAATAATTTTGGCATATTTACAATGCAAACCCCACTCGGACTTTTTCCAGCATTTTGCAACCTCGAAGGCAGCAGTTTCAAGGGCCACGAGAACAAAGATCCCACCTAAACTCAGAAGGTCCTAAACCAAAGCAGCCCGGAAGGTTAGCAACTGGGAAGAACTACTGTCACCAGCATGCACGTCCTTCTCCTGTGCTCTCCCACAGCCACCTGCTATAGGTCACTAGGACACAACACTAGGCCACCTGGGCCTTTGGTCTCACCCTCTTTATGGGGCATAAAGTTTCTGAAGGCAGAAACAAATTAATTACAGGTAAAACATTCAGGTGATCATTAGGGAAACCCCAAATATAGTAGTATATTTTGTAGAGCACGAGTGGTCTAAGACAAATGAACATCATAAGAACAAGCAATCGGTTTGCTAGAGGTTGGGCTGAATTTAAAGACTGTTGACAGCCAGTAGTTCAGGAAACAGGAAAAGCTACATTAGGTTCTTTATGCAGACAAGCCCCACCACCAAAAACACTACAGCAGCCCCTATGGGCACACAGCTGAATGAACATACGCATATGCAGTGTCCTTAAAGGAAATGAGTAAGGTATGCTACCTAACCCTGAAGCTAGCTCATCTCTACAGCTCTGCAGAATGTATACCAAAACTTGCCTTTCTGTAATCCAGTGTACCATTCATATTTTCCCCATAATTTTGACAATTTTAGGAAACTTGTTAAGTCATAGCTCAGGTAAGGAAAAAAAGAACTCTACCTCCAGAGCCACCCAACAGATTAATTTTTTAATTTAACATACAAATTTAGAAAAGCCACCTGCACCACAAGTAGTAGATTACATGACTGTAACAAGTGTCACTTGGGCAAGCTTTAACACAAATCATTTCAGCACAAAAAATACATTGAAGAGATTCAATTTCATACTTAAGAAATAACAGGATCAAGTATCAAAGGACAGTTACAACACAATGTACAAGTGTTTCATTTAAAAAGTGTGTTCTTTGCTCAAGGAAGGCCTTTTTTCCCCCATTTAATCCTTCTTTGTTCGTTTGGCTTTTGCAATATTCTCTTGGCGTTTCTGTTTCTTCTTTTGCTCTCGCTCTCTGGCCTCAATCATTTTTGCAAGCTTCCACGAAAGTGCTGCACTAATTACAAACAATGGCGTAAGGGCCAAGATCACTGTAGTAAGAAAGCCATATGGGTCCTTTGCAGCCCACTCCACGATGTATTCAGCCCAAGCCTTGATATCCAACATTTTTTCTGCTTTTCTGTTGGGAAAACCCTATGGAATAATTAAAAAATATTTCCCAAGTATTCAGAAAAATAAAAGCTAACATACACAGCAATTACCATTTTAATATAAGTCATTACCTTTCATTATTAAAGAGCAAACTCATTTCTTCTAGAAGTTAAAAGAATCGTATAGTACGTGAAAGTAAGCGTAATGCAAACTGTTGACCCTACCAGAACATACGGTATTTACAAAACAGGTAGGCATTTCCAACAGAGCTTCAGACACTAACAAGAAAAAATTGCTACATGGAAAAAGAGGCGAGGTCTGTGCTGCTTTGAAAAAGAAGGAAAGAGAGTCCAGCTGGCCTATCTTTCCACAGTTTTACCAGGCAGGCGAGGGAGCCGGCGCAGCGCTCTCGGTAGCGCACTACCCATAGTCGGCAAGTCAAAAACATCAGAACTGCCG